AACGTGAAATGAAGAGATAGTTTAATGCGAAAACAAAAAACTGAGCAGCGGAAAGCTATTTGATGATATTATAGGTGAAATTTAGAATTTTTTACAGAGTTTTTTTTATCGGAGTCAATGTATATTTTTCTCAAATAATCGATCAAAATATTCAAGTGCCTTTTTATGACAAATCAAAACACTAGCCAGAAATGTGAATCAAATTTGCGCATTTGCTACTTATAGAAATCGAATTGAAGAGAGGGAGAAAAAGAGAGAGAGAGAGTAAAAATGCTTTCATGCGCAATATTGTTGATAACACGCGAATTTCCTTTTTATGCTGGTGGTGACGACAATAATATATCAATTGTTTCTAACGCATGTGTGGTGCCAACAATGTTGCAAACCAGGCCTAAAATTACGAAACTCTGTCTATTTTACGTGTAAACGTATCTTATCGTTTGCAATACAATTTTATAAGCGTGTTTTGATAGGATTCGGCCAACGCAATGGCTTGTTAGAAACCATAGAAGAAAGATATCTGAGAGCAGTTTTTGAAGCGCGTTTACGAAACAGACAATAATTATCTGCTTTCTAATTTTTCGCGAATGCGGAAATCGTCTCGCGTATAAGAACAATCATGCGCCACGTCATAGATTTAATCATTGTAAATTGTAATTAAGAAAATTGAAGTAACATTCCTTATATTTTCTTTATCGACGTTCGCATTTCCGGTCAGACGAAATAATGTGTCTCGGTGATAGATCTCGCGCACAAAGAGTTATTAACTCTACTTGCACACGATGCTCATTTTTTTTAATGTAAACGCACAAGAGTAAATCAATAAATGACGCGGAACAAAATTTTTCATTGCGTGTCCGACAAAGTACAAAGATTCGTATTTCGCGTCTCTCAAAGACAGATTAGCTAACAACAACACCGAATATAAATAGATCATTATTTCGACAATGATTATATTTCTCTGTTCTCGTACACGAGAGAATCGGGAACTTCTTTCGGAGAACTCAATGATCAACACATATCACGATCGTGATTCTCGATTATTGTTATTGTACAATACAATTTTTTACAAATGCTGCCGATCTTGAGGGCGCGAGCTTGTTTAAGCGTTTCTATCTTAAGGAAACAGTTGCGATAATCGTAGAGCACGGCGGAGTTTTTAATTTTAAGGACCACTTGTACCTTTAGGCAAACGTTACAAACGCGCAAACAGGTCGATTTGACGATCCTGCGACTGGTATATACAAAATAAAAACAGAATATATACATGTATAATAACAGTATGCATATAAATATATATATATATATATGTATATATATATATATATATAACAGTATACACACGTGCATGTATATATACGTATATATATATATGTGTGTGCATATATATATATATATAATATATATGCAATATATCATATGATTTATATACATTATTTTACATATTTATATCAAGATTTGCATTTTCTATTTACATAAGTTTGGTACTTATATTTCAGCATCACTTTTCTTATATATTTATTATTTCTTTGCTCTTGAATTTTTTCGACAACACGTCATATTTTCCGATAATATTTAATTCACACAATTTGGATCGACAAAACTGACCTGGTTATTGCGGCACACAAGACCATACTCATAGATTTAAACGGTGTTTTTCCACTTTTTATATACATATAAACACGTTTATATACATACATAGCATATGTATATACATATATATATTTAGAAAAATGTTTACACAGCATGTGTGCGCGCGCGCGTGTGAAGAGATCATAGAATTATCGCAATTCTTTGTGCATTTTTGCGGGATATTTGTCATTTTTTCGAAATTTAATTCTACATAACATAGTGAGACTATACTTTTAAGGTTTTATTTAAGACATTGTTTTTAAATTTGACGGATGAGATAAATGAATGTTTTAAATATCGTAAAAACGTAACTTTTCAGAGGAATTCTTCAGAGATCGTACACGGTGATGATTATTGTATTTACAAATTACTTGTGATATTATCCAAGAGCTAACTTATTTACACACAAGATGATCGGATACTCCGCAGGTAATGGAGGAAGAATGGTGATAATTTCAGAGATATATTATATATATATATATATACAATAGGGGATACTTTGTACATGGGAGAAAGAGAGATTCTAAGGAAAGGAACGAAAGAGTTAAGAGCCGAGAATTGACGCATGTGCGAGGGTTACTAAGTACGAGCGTCAGTATTTTTTATATCAGTATTTGCGACCGCGCTCGCGTCTCTATCTGTTTGCTGATACGCCGGATATACTCGTTATATATATATTTATCTATCCATAGATCTTGCCCTCATGATCTTCATCATGGGTACCGGCCCCGACGGGTTTTCCGCTCAGCCAGTCGGCTGAGGTCGACCTCGCTCTTCCGAAACACCCTCGTTACCGAATTCTTATCGCTTAATATTTAAGTACATGTCTCCTCGCCAATTTTTCCGTCTCTCTCTTTTTGTGGTCTTTGTTTAAAATTTTTAAGCGTATCGAGCGACGAGGGGAAAATTGTCCGAGCATCGAAGTTTGTTTTCGTTCACTTTTCATTGCGTCTCGGTATACTTACGATACTTAACATTCTGTCTCCCTTTCTCTTTTCTGTTTTACTTGAAAAGGTTTTCGAGTGAGTTAAATGATACTTACCACGCGATGATTACCATTAAATAATTAATAAAAATTTATAATAATTATTATTATGAATAAAGAGACACTCTTTTATTGCGAGTTATTTTCTAAAATTAACGTGTGTGTTTTTTCACCTACCTCTTGATTTTCACCAGCGATCGCGTTTGTGTAAGTCTTTGTTAGGGAATTATGTCTGTTGAAGAAAATTATACATATATATATATATTTACAAAAGGGAAACTATATATATATATTTTGTAGAAAGAGAAATGGTAACAAAAAATATTATTGACCAATAAAAAACATAAAAGACACCTTCTCTCGTGTGTTTCTACTTCTCAATTGATTGAATAATTTACTTTAATAAATGTTCCCCAGCAATGTATCAACACTAGCACACGCACACACACATTCTTCAACAATGTTGAAAGTTAACATTTACATAAAGGAGTTTACGAAGAACTTGTTCACGAAGAGATCTTTGTAGAAAAAAATTACAAAGATCTTTTATGGAAGAAGAAAAAAACAAATGTCAATACATGTCAAAACTTTCAAGTTTCAAGAGAAATTTCTTTATGAATTAGCAAATTACATGGAACAAAATGTTTGCTGAAATGAGCAAGAACAGTTACTGTGTGATAAGCGGGAAAAATTTGCTAATGTTTTCTTTGCAAATTTTTCATGCTGTCCATATAATGTCAGAACCTTTTTTTCCGTGTACGTATGTTTTTTTTGTTTTTTACACATCTATCCCGGGTGACAGTCGACGTTTTCGAAACACCGATCTGACCGATCATTACTTGTTTCAGCGAGCGGCCTGCATTACGAGCAGATCTTCCCGTGCGATACCTGCGACAGACGGTACCGAAGAATCATCTCGTTGCAACGCCACAAGAGACTCGAGTGCGGGAAGGAGGCGAAGTTCGAGTGCATGATGTGTCACATGAAGTTCAAGCACAAGCACAGTCTGCAGAGGCATTACAACGTTCACATGTCCGACTTGAAGAACACGTTTGGATACAGCGAGGACAGCCTTGTTTGACAGGCGAAATGGCGGACATTGATAATCGCGACGTGATAGCCGAAACCTTTAGCAGTTCTTCTTATCGTTCTTCAAGTCATAAAGTGATATATACATTACTTATTTTAAAAGAAAAATACTTCTTGCTGATTTCAGTTGCAAATATATATATGTATATATATATATATCACATGATATCGGACTAAATAGTTTTCACCAACGTTACTCTCATGCATACCAATACGATGTAACTGATGTGGAGTAATCAAAGAGTATTAATTAATAAATATTAATATATATAATCGCTACGATATGACGTAATACATAGAACAGTTCCTCGAAATGATTCTCGTTATTAAGTTTCCCAGCTTGATTTATATCTATTATTATATAATCGCACATATATATTCTAATATATTTTAATATATCTTAATATATATTAATTATATCACAATGTGTTAGATAATTATGAGTTTTATATTCACTTTTCTATTAACAGTGTTGTGTTATTTCTTCTTGTTGCATATATGTAAATAGCGAACGTGTACATTCAATATTACAATCCCGATCCTGAGTAATAAAATTAAAAGTCTTGTTAAAATTTAATTATCATTACTTTTCGCACGTGCGCAACCCGAGTGGGGTCAATAAGTTTTTCGCGCGACATACTCGCTTCGAAATATCCGATTTCGAGACAGAGACAATTTTGTTAATTTGCTTTTTGTTTGCGTTGAGAACCTCTTTTGTTTATCGGGTTTCAATTTCTGGCGCATAGACTCTCGAGCAGAGCATCGAGAAACAAGATACCGCGAGAGATATTTATTGCTCTGAGGCGGTAACGTCTTCGAAGCACGAGAATGCGGAGCGCCGATGCACATTCCCGCTTTGTCTAACGATTCCGTCTTCTGTTTTGTATTTTCAGTGCTCCCGTACTACGCGGTGCAACGGAATCTCGCCTGCAACACCTGTTCGCGCACGTACAGCTCCAAGCGGGCGTTGCAGTTTCACAAGAGAGTCGAGTGCAAAAAGGAGCCGAGATTCAAGTGCGACCTGTGCAGCTATCGTGCTCTACGACGAAGCACTCTGCAAAGACACATGCTGCGTCATAGGGAACTAATTTGGGCCAATCAGTCTCTCACCTCTTTTCAGTAGAGATTTTTCTCTTGAATTTTGAACAATTTACCGAAAACAATATTATTATTTGTCCTTTGAGCGCACTGTAATAATTGATGTAAATTGTGAGGTATATGTGCAAGGAGGATAATTTCACTTTGCACATGTATATATCTGTTCAGCGAAATAAAATAAAACTTCAATGTGAGCATGATACGGAACGGAAGTAATTCCTTTAGACACACACGACTCGCCTAACGCGCAATCGTCGTAATTTTATTAACAATCGCATTTTGTTTCTCTTGTATTTCCGCAGACTATTACCACGAAGAAAGAGGTAACTCAGGTCATTCGTTCGGCTCGTTCGCGAGATACACCTGCGATTCTTGCGGCAAGTGCTACCGTACGTGGGGCTCGCTGAAGTTTCATCGGAACATGGAGTGCAGAAAGGAGCCTAGTTTTTCGTGCACCTTCTGCGGCTACAAATCGCACAGGAAGAGCAATCTGCTCAGGCACATGCGTATACATTATCGATATATTAAGTGAAGATGTGATGTACCAACGACGATGTCGTTTTTTTTTTTTTTTTTTTGCGTGTCGCGACCGAAAAATAAACACACACTGGACTGATTGATTGAGATATTATGTCACACATCCTCTCTCCATTCACGTTCTTCCATTCTCGCGCGAAATAAAAAAATTCCCGCAACGAGTCATCGAAATAAAGTGACGTGAGAGTCATTTTCACGAGAGTAACCACAACGTCATCGTTTACTCACTATGACATGCCAACAGGGAAGATGAATCAGTAAAAAATTGCTCAAATGTGTCGCGAATTTGGCAAGGGAGAGTAAGAGAAAACGTGCAAATAGATTTTACTTCAAGTTTATATATTTTTTTTGCCGATTTACTTTTGTATTAAAAACGAGACTTCTGTCTGTTTTCGATCAAAACCTTCAGAATTGTAATGTGTAATAATCCTATCGTACTTGTGTCTTTGGTGTTACGTGGAAAAAATTAAGTGAACAGTAGTTCATCTCTTTTCGCTTTTTCAGGTAAGCCGTTCGGTCGTGTCAAGACAGAATCGTCATCCCCATTGTCACGACAATGCGAAAAAAAACGCAAGGTCAATCGTCGGCATCGCAAGAAGTTCCTGTGATTGCGGTTTGAACTGAAAAAAAACGAGCGTTCTTCGGCATCCGCAAACGTTCACGGGCAATCCTTGGTTTATGAAGAATTGCAACACACGATTTGAGAAATCGATTACGATTTTTGCGTTTTGAACATGGATGAGGATTTTTTCTTTCTCAAAAAATTTATAATATTTAGATATGGAAAATTATTAAAAACAGAATCTCTCTAGAATTTTCTCAGAAATTTGTGAGATTTATACACTCTTGTATCAATTATCAATTACACGTATATATATATATACATATATATATATATCTTTATTTGATACATTTTGATATCATCGCATTGAATAATATATCGTTTGATAAGGTTTTTTTTTTTTCATTTCATTCCTGTTCCTGATTCCACTGGTAGTCTGTTACATGTAGTTTGTGTTACGAAAATATTAATAAGATCCCGTGCTCTGTCAATTTCAAATCCCTCTCACCAAGTATGTAAACAAAAAACAGTTGAAGCGAACATTATTTAAATGTTGAATATTTCAAAAATATCGAAATTTTGCGACACAATTTATGCCAATCATGATGTAAGACGTAATTGTTTTTTAAATTCACCATTCTCGATTAATTGTCGCGAATCGATCGTCAGACTTAAAAAGATAAATGTTGAAACATCGACGCGGTATTTATAAAAGTCCGCTTCCGACGCGACTTTTTAATTCTTCGATTAAGTTAAAAAAAATCCCACGGGCTTCTCCTTATCGGATCGCTCGTTGAAGGGAACAAGCACGAACAACTGTGTGTTTGTAAAGCACGGAGTCTCACGCGGGACGGTGGAACCGGCCTAAAGCTCTTCTTCTTCTTCCATTTTCAGGTATTCTGAACGAGTGCGTGATCGATGCTACGGTGGACGAGACCGTGGACATGCCCGTGCAGGCGTGGAAGGTGCACGAGAGGATGGTGTTTGCCGAGTTGAAGATACCGAAAGCGAGCAACTTCATTGGCAAATCGCACGGCCAATTCTCGTGCGACCGCTGTAGCCGATCGTATGGGCGAAAAGACTCGCTGTCACGTCATATGCAGTGGGAATGCGGCAAGGAACCGTCGTTCTACTGCTCGTTCTGTTCGCAAGGTTTCAAACGCAAGGCGCACTTGCAGCGTCACGAGCGTCGCCGACACAGTGACAAACTTAACAGCACGGAGAAATTGTTGTACTCGTACAAGCCGAAAATGGAGATCGATTGATCAGCCAAATCCGTTCGATATTAGAATACAAAAAGCAATCTTTCTTGGGTTGTAATCACGTGATAAGGAAGATCGTCAGTCAAGAAGTAACGATCTTAAGATTCGAACTAGCGTATAAGATGTATTTTGATATACGTCGTTAATATATTAATGATATTTGTTGTTAATATATTAATGATATTTTTATAGCGATTCTTTTCTCTTTATAAGTGGACGAGAGTTACAAAAAATCGTTCCGTGATGAAACAAGAAAGTATTGTGTCCGTATATGCACATATATCGTAAGCAATACTTAGGTTTCTGATTTCGAGATCAAAATCTCTTGTCAGAATCAATTTTTCGTATGATACATTACATATGATAAATGTTTTTTTGTCTTTTGTTTTTTTTTTTTTTTTGTTTCTTTTGTTTTTGAGAAATACAATATAATAACAGATATCGCGCAAGAGAAGCCACAAGCGCGACAGACATCTGAAGATATTGTTAGAGTTTTGTTAAATATAGAGTTTTTTTTTGCTTTCTAAAAGAGTGGGATATTGTGTTGAATCTTTTGTTTTTTATACTAATTTTTACTAACAAAAGGCATCAAACTTCGTCGATAATCGAAGCTTACACGTTTTATCGTACATTTGTATCTCATATACCTAAGAGACTATTTAGTTTTTAGGAATTCAAGAGATATCTTGAATACATATGATTAATAATATAATGATGACTTAAAGATGCGTGTCTTTCTATAATTTTTTTTCTTAAAAAATTGTTACGTACATCCACTCATTTTTTTGCTGTGCCGATTACTTGTAAACATCAGGATTGAAACGAGCTTTACGTTACGTATGTAGAAGACGTAGTTTCGCTAGACATAATTTGAATTTGCGAAGGTGTTTGACTGATTTTATTTAGTATTAAGAATATTATCTGTGTTGTGTTTTTTTTCTTAGGTTACAAATTGATTCGACGTTTCGGTCAAACAGAGTGATTTTATTATATTTTAAGTTTTTTTTTTTTTTTATTAAAATATCCCGCACCTTGTAATAATTTAATAGCATATTCTCTGGAGACGTTTTCGAGGTGTAATTCTAAATCTGATACGTCATATATATACATGTGCGTATACATATGTATATATGTATCATTCGGTCCGACTTCGCCATTATCTGAACGCAACATACACAAGCAAAATATTATTTATTTATATATAAAATGTATATAAGTATTATTTATATATTTCCATATATAAATAATATATATATAAATATTATATATTATTTACAAGATATATATTACTTATAGTAGTCGAAAAAATGTACAAATTATATAATTTATTTATAATTTATATTAACAAATAACACGAAGTTGACATAGAATTAAAAATTCGAAAATGTCTCTAACTAAGCTCCAGTTGTATGTACATACATGTAGTGTATGTGATGTGTGTACATATATAGTGGAACGAAATGTATGTGCCTTATTAACGTCGAAAGTATTTAAACTGTTAAAATAATAAGTGCCACTTTTACAAAGACGATCCCCTTATATATCGATAAAAATAATCAGTATTTCTCACAATTTGACGAATGAAGAAGAAGAATAGGAGAAAAAAAATACGGACAAAAAAAATCGGAAGATGAGGTGTTGCGTGAGGGGACTAGTTTTAAGTAGTGCGTGCAAAAAAAAAACGAAAAAAAATATTTTTCTACATTTGCTTAAGATACAATTATGTATTCAAGAGTGAACTCATTAAGACTGATGGCATTGCAAAATGCAACGAGCGTATACATATATGCTGTTGCAATCGATCATGTAACTTGACAGACTATCGACAATTTAAATCCGTCATATTCATTATGTTTGAAGAAAATAAAGTTGTACGAATGTGAGTGACGAATATCAGCTATCCCATCATCCATCTCATATTTTCTGACAACCACTTGAAATTTGTATTCTCATGAGTGTGATCGATTTTGTGCGCAAATTATTTCCACACAATTATACACAATTCATAAGAACAGCTATTTTGTGAAATCAATTGATTGAATCCAGAAATATTTTTCTCACATGTACTTTGCTCTCTTGCAGCTTTCAGTTATAAAAAAAAAAGAAGAAAAAAAAAAGAAAAAAAAGATTCAATTCAGTTGTAATTTAGAAAACTTTTTTTCATCTTGCATTTATTCGAATTAATTGGCGACAGAAAAACATGTACATATTTGTAGAAACAATGTAATTCCGTCAAGAAGTTTTTTTTTTACATACACACCGGCAGCTGAAATCGATAGCTGTAATTGGCACAAGTTTGCATATCGAAGAATTGTCACGAATAAATAAGTGAAGAAATTAGACGCTTGTAAAAAAAATTCAAGAATTTCCCGTGTCAAGCGCCGCCGTTCGAGTTAGAAGCAAGAATTTCTCTCCTCTGTAAATAATCAACCTTTTATCGCAGATCTTTCGGCTGGTTCAATCGCATTGCGAGCTATTTCAGTAACTGAGTTTCATCCTTCGCATTTCTCATATCTCTTTCTTCTGCCTTTCTTTACCCTAGTGCGATATCAGAGGAGCAGCATGCGCACTAACCTTCCTCGAGTTTTGTACATAGAAACGCCACTTACGTATTATTCGAACTTTCATCGCTTGCGCATCGAAGAGGAACATTCACCGATCGGATGATGACGTCTCTTTAACCATGAGCCGAATTGTCTGAATAGTAATAACGCCAGTCGCGGATCTGTGAATGTTCCTTTTTGTAACACGCAGTTACTGCTCCTTCCTCGTATGCGAAGCTCATAACTAGCTGCTTTGGGGCTCGAAAGTAAGGACACAAAGGACATGCATTTTGTTTTTCTCTATCACTTAACGAATGTGACCGACGACGATGGCAACACGTTCGTTTTTCTTTATCGATGCATCTGTGCGATCGTTGACGAGCCGTGACGAGATTCGCAGCTCTTCTCCGAGAGACAGTTTTCTTTACAGGAGAAAAACACGCCGAGAGATGCCTCCGCTCTCGACGCGACAACTTCGATCTCGATCTACTCCCCTTTCTTAAAGATTACAGAGAGAAAGAGAGTGAGAGAGAACGAAGAGAAGACGGGCGTGGAGAGAGAAAGAGAGAGAGAGAGAGAGAGAGAGAGCGCACGACGTTGAAGAGGCACGTCGAGGTACCAAAAACTCACCACCGAGCCATTAACTCCCTCCCTCTTGTCAAGAAACGCCAAACGTCCTACTCCCTTTAGCTATTAAGCTTCTGAATTTTCAAGAGCCCGAGAACGAGAAACACGAAAACGTCCGGTTGAAAATCCGTCGGCCGCGCGTTTCCCGACTCGAGCGCTTGAAGACCCGCCGGCCCTCGAAAAACCCCCGATTATTTCGTTCGTAGCGGGACACATGCTAATAAAGCCGGTAATCTTGTGTTCCAGCCGAGGACCTGAGCATCAGCGGTCTCCAGTGGGCGTCTTGGAAGCGATGGAGCGTGCCGTCGATCATGTGGCGAACCGGCGCGGGTCTGGGCAAGGGTCTGGGCTCACCGTCCAATCCGGAGGGTTTCACTTGTACGACCTGCGGCAGAGTCTACAAACTGAAGAGTAGCTTGAGAAACCATCAGAAGTGGGAGTGTAACAAGGAGCCCCAGTTCCAGTGTCCCCATTGCGTCTACAGAGCGAAGCAGAAGATGCACATCGCGCGACATATGGAGCGAATGCACAAGGAGAAGCTGTTCAAGCAGGAGCTCGCGTAAGAGAACGCGAACGTCGTGCTCGTCGTCGACGTCGATACTTCCGGTCACGGTCTTGCGCGGGTGAGATCAATCGGCGAGAAGAAAAAGAGAAGAACAAAGAGAAGATGCAGGAAAATAAATCACAGAAGAAGAAGAAGAAGAAGAAGAAGAACGAACACACGTGCGTTCTCTTTCGCGCACGACCGACGGAATTCGGTGTAAGCGTGACCTCGAAGATAACGCAGCGAGGAGAATACTCAGCGAATATAAATACATACAACGGACGTTGAGACAATGACGATTGAGAAACTGACGACGGAGAGCCTCGAGACTTCTGCTTCACGGGGGACGAGAGGGCCGCGTCCCCCCTTCGACTCGATCTTGAATTCATATTTTTTTTATCATTTTTTAAGGTTTATTATTACGAATGAATTGATTAATTAATTATTATTTTTACGTAACGAGATATATGCCGCGTATAAACAAGAGAACGCGTCGATCTCTCGCCCGGGGCGTCTTTCGTGGCTTCGATTATATTCAGTAGGACGTTTCTTTCGTCGATCTGTACTCGACAGATCGCCGATCCTCCCGTGCTCCCTTTTTTTCCGAAACACCCACATACACAGATCGACTTTTTCGTTCCCGTAACGCCAAGGGGTTCGAAACCTCTAAACAGCGGAGCCCGCCCCGGGCCGGATTGAGACCGTCCGGTAAACCGGAGCTCTTCCATAGCAACCATTCTGGTCACACTGGTTCCATATTTTTAAACGGGTGTAGCCGTGCGCGTGTGGCTCACTGGGGACGTAAAAAAACAAAAAAAAAACTTTTTGAATGAGAAAGAAGGAGGACGACATGAGAGCGAGAGAAAGAGAAAAAGAGAGAGAAAGTGAATATTTCGAGATAATCACGAGAACGCGGCCATGTCAGCAAGACGTCCTGTCGATCCGATTGTTCGTGCGCGCGCGACATATCGAATATATCATATACGACCGCAAACTGCAAAGTCACGTCAACATCAACGACGCTAAAGTCACTTAGAAGATGAGTCCTGTGTGGATGAGCCTTTCAGAAGACGAGGCTGATCCCCGGGAGCGAGCCTAAACTTCACCTCTCTCAGACCGATTTGGTCAGGCAAATAAATTATTTACTGTACTTTAAGGGCAAATGCAAATTCGAACAATATGATTCTTCTCGTATAGACTAGATAAAGCTATAAATATTGGAAATTTTTTTTTCTTTTGTTGCTATTCTAAATCTTTTATCGCGCTCTTGATTGCTGCTGATTTTTTTT